TCAGGTCTCATCAGTGTGGCTAGGAAAGCAAAGAAAACTAATCCAAGTTATCCAAGTTTAGTGCCTGTAGGAGGCAAAATAGAAGTAGTACGACGATCGAAATTTGATCGTAGCGCCATCTAACAGCAAAAGTGCTGTTTAGTGTTGAATCCTAGTCTTCCTAGTCCTAGTTCCACCTTTTACCTATCACCTGTAATTACATGGCTGCAGGTGGGTGTTAATGGTGACTCACCCTGTACATTAGGTTTTAGTACAACAATTAACTTTTTAGGCGACTGTCACAAAAAGATTAGTTTTACGGATTCAATATCATCCCTAAAGTATATCTTTTTTGGCCGCATTCACTTTACGGCCGCATTTACTTCACGGCCGCATTTGCTTTATCACTTTACGGCCGCTTTTACTTCACGGCCGCTTTTACTTTACGGCCGCTACAAATTTCCACATAAAACGCTAAAAAAAAAACGGCATGATTAAAAATTTGGGAGAAGTATTTTCTTGCCAAAATTAAATAATCCTCAACATTATGGTCTTCAGGTCCACCTATGTTATACTCTATGTTAAAATTTATAATTATAGTCGGAAATACCTAACATATCAGCAAGTTTTCAAAATTGATTGCTTTTTTAAAGAAGCTCAATGTAAGATACCAGGCGAAAAAGTCGGCAAATTTCTATAATCACTTTATCGTAGTTTTTGTTATTAATAATTGTGTATCTACCTTTTGCTGGATTATTTATTTGATCAATAAAGTTTAAAGTTACTGTTGAATTTTCTTCTTTTTTCAAGAACAAACACTCGCCTAAAAAATTTTGTGTGCACCTCGGCCGAATGATCTTTTTTGGCCTCACCTGAAATTTGCTTGGCCTCGGCTACGCCTCGGCCGCAAATTTCTGATTCGGCCAAAAAAGATCAACTTTACGGCCTTGGTATACAAATAACTATTTTAAAACAATCTTTTTTTAGATCTTGCTTGCATCTTCCTCTTCGCCTAATCAAAATTGAATAATATTTTTCATCATAAATGTATATGTATGTTCTAAAGTACGACCGCTGGCGCAAACATCTAAAGCCGGAGTCTCATGCATCCGTTTTCCGACGAAAGATGTCCGAAAAACCTTCTATTCTGACATAATCGTATGAAAATATGTCAAAATAGAAAATTTTTCGGACATCTTTCGTCGGAAAACGGATGCATAAGACCAATAAGACTCCGGCCTAAAGCCGCGAACAAATATGTTTGGTTAATGTCAACGTCACGAGTCATGACAAACATGACCGAACGCGTTTGTTCGCCTTGGCTAGAGTTCGCTCGACAGGCGGTACATCAAAAGAAATTTGTGACGAATTCCTTTGTAATCAGTACGCGCGAAAATAAACGAATGACTGTGAACGCATCCTTTCGTTCGTATGTGGACACAATACCAATTTTATAGCAAACGCCAAACAAATTCGGGCGAATTCGTTCGCGTTCGTTCGCTGTATGAATACGCGCCTTAACGAGTAACAACACCGCTGATGACGTCGACAACGCTGCAACAACATATGACGTTGATTCCAAAAATCGAGGCCGATGAGCAATCTTGTAGTAGTGTGTACTTAATATCCTTGATGATGCATTACAAACGGAAAAGTTTATAACGCGAAGTAGAACTTGAAGATCTCTTGCTCTGAAGTGGGCGAAGTGGCATATGGAATCATAGGCCGAGTTCGTTTTTGTCTTACGTGATTTGTGTAAATTGAAACTGTCTTATCCAGTTACGTGCCTGTCAAAATTTCGGAGCAAATCTACGAAAAAATGACAAAAACGAATTCGGCTATAGTAGGTCCGTTCCAACGAGGCGATTTTAGTAGTTTTCATTCGTGTGAATCTACTTCAATTTCTGTTGAAAGACAAAAATCGCTTCAACAAAGTTTGACGCAGTCGAACTTTAGCGTTCAACTTATGAGTTATCCTACGATTTTTATTGAAGAGTTAAAACCTTTGAACATATCGGTTGACGATCGTCCCGATTAAATATTGAAGCATGAATTGTCTGTAGAATGTTTAATTAAATTCGTTTGAGATAGGAGTTGCCGCAACACCTAATTTATTTTTACTCAAAATTCAATTTCTAATCCAAAAACGACCTTTTTTTCGTTTTTTGTTCTATTCTAGAATTCCTCTTATTTCTGCATTCAGTAACTAACAAATAACACAAATACCCGCGAGAAAATAGTATATTAAAGTATAAGTGGATATTAGGGTCTTTAAAACACGCGCGATTTTTCGAGCACGACGGCGCAGCCGGAGTGCTCGAAATAGAGCAAGTGTTTTAAAGACCAGTTATCCACGAATACTTTACACTATTTTTTTTTATTGGTATACTTACGTGTCATAAATTACTAATAATTGTAGAATCCTTAATTCGTGCTTGACACTTGTTCACTAGAAAAGTATCTGCAATGTTATGTACCGGTTATGAATTACAGCGCCATCGTTGACTGAAACCCCAACTAACCGAGCATTCTTGACAAAAAGGCGAATTGATTTTTTCATATATTTTTATTATTTTTAAATAATTTTTAATGTTCAACTGCATTTGGCTTGCTGACTCCTTTCAGCTCTTTTCGCCTCATTTTTTTGAAAACTATGACTGGCAGGAAGTTTCCGATGTCGAACATAGTGCAAAAAGAGTTATTAAGTTAGCAAGAGACACGCAGCTATAGGTAGATCGCAAAGTAAATACGAATAATAAATACAAATACGAACGAAACGAAACAAACGAGTAAATACAAAAAAATACAAACAAAAATTAGGGTTTTTTTCAACCAAAACTTTTTGAATTTTCACTTTAACGCGCGTGGGGACCATGGTTTACATTACAACAACACAATTTAAAAATTCAAATTTTGACTTTTAAAATGACAAAATAAATGACAAAACCAACCAACACAAATCACTGTCCACACCACAGATACCTGTAAATTTCTCTTATCTTCCGACAGTGTCGCCATCGTTGACTAATGGCCGTTTCCACCAACTATTTTAGGGGAGCCCTAACGATAAGTATTCCCTAAAATGACATTTTTACATGGAGAAATGTCAGTTTAGGTTTAGGGCATACCTATCGTTAGGGCGCCCCTAAAATAGTTGGTGGAAATGGCCATAAAAACCTAACTAAAAACCTTCGTCGCGATTCTCCCATTTGAGATATTTTTCTATAGGTGATATGTTCTGTGCACTTGTTATATTTTATTTGACGTTATCTACAAGTACCTACCTACTCCTGACAAATCAATAATTAAAAAGTTGACATTTAGACCTTTCTCGGGTTGTTGGTTGTTGATGTTCTCATTAGGCGGTTACACACGGACGTGGATGTCTGAAAACATGTACAGGGTATTTGATTATATTTGGCAACATACCTACAGCGTTTACTATTTAAGATAGAAAAAAATTTTAAATACAGAACTTGACAGTTTTTTTCTATATTTTCTGATAACGTTATCAGAAAAAACAAAATCGCATCGGAAAATGGAGAAACGTATGCAACTTCGACTATTTTTAATGGAACACCCTGTATATTATGCGAAAAAATGAAAGATCTATTCTTTCTGATTCCAACTTATATATATATATTGATAACATTTGCGTGAGCAATTTTTGATATATCTCAGGTTAAATTATCAAGAATTTGCAGAGAAGTTCCATAAGCATCTCTATCTTTATAAAATTTCTTTGCAATTTAGTTATAATTTAAGCTGAGATATGTCAAAAATGGCTCACGCAAATGTGATCAACATATATATATTTGTAATCAGAAAGAAAAAGTCTTTCATTTTATCGCAAAATATACAGGGTGTTCCAGTTAAAAAAGTCGAAGTTATTTACGTTTCTCCATTTTCCGATGCGATTTTGTTTTTTCTGATAACGTTAAAAGAAAATATAGAAAAAAACTATCAAGTTTTGTATTTACAACTTTTTTCTATCTTAAATAGTAAAGGCTGTAGGTATATGGTGCCAAATATAATCAAATACCCTGTACGCACATACATGAACGCGCAAACAAAAACATCAATGTGTATGCAAAATGCCGTTGCGTTTTTGAATGTGCAATCGCTAGAAATTTTGTATGCACACTCGGAACACTGTAGCCAGAATACCAAGATTACAGTTTTGATAGTTTTGTGCGAGCGTCTGTACAAAGGCGTCATGCACGTTTTTGTTTGCACGTGGATGTATGCGCGTATATATATCAAGCCATCCACGCGCCGTGTGTAACCTCCTATTGGTAACTTTAAAACCCGCGCGTTTTTGAATGTTGGATTTAGGGAGAATTTTCATGCATCCGTTTTTCCGTCAAAATATGTCCGTTTAACATTCTATTCTGACATAATCGTATATAAATATGTCAAAATAGAATGTCAAACGGACATATTTCGACGGAAAAACGGATGCATGAAAATCCTCCCTTAAACACGCTGAGGAGTACTTTAAATAAGTGAAATAGGTTATCAATAAAAAAAAATCATTAGTAGTCATTTTCCTTTCAATAATAATTGTTGATACGTGAGAACAAAAAGTCGATTCGATCCATAGTTGATCAACAAAATCGTTCAACTAAAATCGCCTAGTGGGAACGCGCCTTCAAAATAAAACTGTCCCAAGTGTCCCAACATATATAACAATTACAGAACTCTGTAATGTTAATGCATTTCATTTTCCACTTCACCATATTGTCGAGATTGGTTCTTTATTACGATAAGAGTGAGCTTTTTTCTTATGTTCAAAATGTTTCTCAAATTTGGTTATACAAGTTTAATTCATAATTCATCGATAGTAAATTCCTTGAAAGTTTTTGTGGTTTCTTCAGAAAGATTCGAATCCCTTTCCAGCTGTCGCCCTCTATAAGCCAAAATACCAATCGCTTGAAAGCTTAAGACGCAAGAAATACCATGTCAACTTCAAACGTCGATTGGTAGATGTCGCTAGTAAAAACTATGACGTTGTATTGATTGCATTTTCCTAGTGGGCAGTCGGCGAACGCCATTTTGACAGTTTTGTTAAAAATATCCCAAAGTTATCGAAATAATTTAAAAATCCGCGTACATCCGTCCCGTTTGAAGAGCGAACGTGAATTTTTCTTGTGGTTTATTGTTAACCCATTTGGACGGACCAAGGTACGGCTCTATTTTCGTTGTCCCTTTGTTAGAAATCCGAGTTTCGTAATAGGATGTTTTCCTTTCGACTTCTAAAGGAACAGAAACCTAAACCGTTATGTCGGACGATTTTTCACCTTTTAATTGCCAACTCGGACGGTTTGTGGTGTTTCTAGCAGTTTGTTCGTTTGGTTTGGTGCTTAAAAACGACCCGTTTTGTGTATTTCTTAGTTCAGTTATCAGGAAATTAGTGTTTAGTGTTTACATCCATTGTTTATTTGAACTATTTTTGTTGTAAAGATTTTCTTTCATTGTTTTGTGCCTGTTTGGAGAAAGTTCAATTAACTCATTGCTAGGAGCACTTGATTACAGTGTTATTTTGCAATAATCACAATTGTCTATAAAGTAATTTGGGATTATCATCCAACAGAAAATTGTTTAATGTTTTTTAGCACAAACCAAATTGAACAATTACAAGGTCTTTTGTATTGGCTAGAGGTGATTGGAATAGGAAGTCATAAGTACTTTAGGCACTCTATTAATGAAATTTAAGGAAGTTATTATTCATTGCACCATAATCTAAAATAATTATTTAGATATTAGTAGGCTGATCATATAGAGTATCGTTAAATTAATCTTTATCCTTATGTATGTTTAAGCATATTTGTTACTAGTTTTGTTGAATTTTTCAATATGAGTGTATTTATCGAGGTACTTATTTATTTATATTATAATGCCTTGATATGATAATAAGAAACACATCTGTTTTGTTTTGAAATGTCTTTAACAACTACTCATGCAAAATCAAGAAGCCTCTGTGTTTGAATCTCAAAATAATTGTCCATACTCATTCTTGTCTTAGTGCATATTGGCTAGACTTATTTGCTGTGCAAATGACTATTTCTAGGCCTTTTCTAAACTTTTTAAAAAGTTCAGCTTCAGAATTGTATATTCACCCTTCTTTCAAGTCATCCTCACCAATAGGAACGCTGATAATTTAGATTTTATTGCAAAGGTTTCTTAGAATCAACTTTATTACACAAACAACATTTTTATAAAAGTATTATTTTTTTGGTTTTCAGAAAAAGGGTTCGTTCTTGGGTTTTGGCTAATCTAAATGGTTGTGTGCAGACAGCATGTCTACATTGTCAGGGAATGTCTCCAAAGGGGAGAAGACCAAGCCAAAATTTCAATCTTTGGACATAAATAATTTGTATAAGATTAGCAGGGTAAGTTGAGTGAAATTTATAATTTTTATATCCTACTACTAAACTATTATAATCCTATAATACCTTGGTTACAATAATCATAAACAGGGTCTTAGCTCCCGCGCGGGATTTAAGGAGTTCATAACTCCCAAAGGAGTTAAGGATATCAGGGCTGGAACTCTAACAGATAGACATCGTTATCCCTATCGCGATGGCACTTGCTGTCTGCTTCTCTCTTCTCGAAATCAATAGAGAGGGGATGTCAATAGAGATAGAGAAAATATCTCTATTGGTTACAGAGTTCCAGCCCATAACTCCCAAGGCAGTTAAGGATTTACATAACTCCCGCTTCTACCTTGAATAGGTAAAACTTAGAGAAAAAATATAAATTTTGGTTTATGGTTTATTCCTCGGTTTATTCCTTTATAAAAATAGACAAAATACAGTAAATCCAGTAGGATATAAAATTATCTATGTACCTCAGGAATGATCAGGTGTTAATACCCACAGGCAATTTGTGTACCTCGGGCCAGAGGCCCTCGGGACACAAACTTTGCCCTGGGGTATTAACACCCTCATAATTCCCTTGATGCATAAATAACTATTACAATAGGTACTATTTAGGTAGGTTCCTATTGGATAATACTGAATACTGAAGTGATCATAATCATAGACATTCCGCACCATCAAATCGGTCCCGTCTTTTTGTGTATTTTTGTATAGAAAAAGTGGAAAATTACAGTTTTGACTTATACTGGTGTGTGCCGCGAAAAACGTAGAATCGAACAGTGTATTAGTATATGAATTTCCAATGGAATTAACATGTTAAATCAATAAAATCAGGTAATGATTTTCTGTGATCGAAAATGCTAGGACCAAATAAAAAAAATATTGTTTATTATAATCTTTATTGAAGCCTATTGTTATCAGTAAATATAAAGATAGCATAGAATACAAAGTAGGAGAGTTCTCGCACTGACAACCTTATTATCTTTTGTTTCGAATGCTGGATTATAGATTGAAATGTTGCAAGAAAAAAGATGTCAATAGTTTTTGTTGTAAAGCATGTCTAGGAGTGTTCCATCCATCATGTATGGAAAGATATAAATCAGTAAGAGTAATTTATAGAAATACCATATATTGCTCTGAAGAATGTGCTGAGAAAGATCTGTTAATTGAAAAAGCAGAGACAGATAGAGAAAAACAATTTCAAGAAATGAATCAGGAAATTTTGGAGCTTAAACAAGAGCTTAGAGCCAAGCAATTACATATCAAAAGAATGGAAAGACGCACCCAAGATTTTGAGAACGATATATTTGAGGACGAACAACGAAGTATAGAGAAAATTAATGAACTGAATGATAGTATGAATAAATTGAAATTGGACATAGTTAAATTGAACGAGGAAAACAATGTTTTCGCCTCAGAAAAGGTTATTATGCAAGAGGAGTTGAATAAAGCGAATAAACAATACCAGGAGCTTATGGAAGTAAATCGTAATATTATTGACTCCATCAGAATATTGGAGGCTGAAAATAAAATTTATCAGAGGGAAATTGAACATTTCAAGGAGCAAGCAGAGTTGATGATTGGACCAGCCATCTCCCAGAACTCACTTATTGTGGAGGAACGCCCAGTTACACAGCCTGTTAAATCCAATATAAATGAACCAGTTTCTGCTATGAGTAATGATGAAATTTCACCAAATATTGTTATTGAAGAGAGCTGTTCGATGAGTGACATTGATGATAATAAACTTCTGCTGTTATGTGATCAAAATGGACGCTATTTGGATGAATGGTTACGGAAGAACTCAAACTTTAAGATACAGACAATAATAAAACCTGGTGCTCTGTTCAGGAACATCACTGAAGACATTATTAATTTAGTTAAGGATTTCACATTGAACGATTATGTTGTCATTGTGGGTGGGGCAAATGATTTTTCTGGGCATAACAAGCATCCTCTCTTTAGGGATATAAATAGTAAAATCAAACATTGTACACATACAAATATTGTATTCACGTCTGTTTCAACGCAAAGAGCTAATTATAATTATAAAATCATTAAGAAATTCAACTCAAAACTTGAGGAATATTGTTCAAGACTAAATAAATATAGTGAAGGCAATGTTATGTGGTGTGATTTGGGCAACTACAGGGAAGAGCAATACTTACAACTGCTGCTACAGCAAGTGCTATGTAAAAAACCTTGTAAGAATCTGATATTTGTTCCAATTTCGAAAGATGTTATCACAGCTGATATTAGCAATGCTTGCCAAAATGCACGGAATTCTTTTTTAGGCCCACTCCGCATGGATGTAGTAATAGAATAGATAAAGACAAGAGTGCTCTTAGTTTTAGTTTGATTTACTTTAATGCAGGTAGTACCTATGCACATTTTGATGAAATACATAGTTTAATAATTACTAAGAAACCTAATGTGGTATGTATATCAGAGACTCATCTAACTGAGAATATAGATGCGTCTGAGGTATTTGTTGAGGGTTACAGGTGTATGAGAGTGGATAGTGTTAGTAGGCATACAGGTGGGGTGCAGATTTATGTTGAGAATAGGATTAGAGTTATTAACATACAACAGCTGTCTCATAACAAAGATTATTGGATTTTGAGTTTGAAGATCGAAATTTACAATAAGTTATTTAGAGTTGCTTGCATCTATAGATCTCCAAGTTCGAGTAGTGCAGATTTTTTAGATTTTTTCGAGGGCTGGTATGAAGAATATATATGTGACGTTAAAACGCCAATAATTGTGGCAGGTGATTTTAATTTGAATTGGTTAATAAATGATACATATACAAATAGGTTAAGATTATATAGTAAAGAGGCAGGACTCAACCAGTTAGTTACAAAAGTGACTCGACCAGCGAATAGGGGATGTGAAGGTACGCTTATTGACCTGATTTTCTCAAATGTGATGACTATTAGTTATTGTAATGTTTTAAATACCCCTAGAATAAGTGACCATTATATTTTGACTGTTGGTATTGAAGTCTGGAGCAGAAAAAACCAAGAGCCCTTTTTTGTTGAAACTCGTGGGAGAAATATTGACTATAGGGGTGTGCAGAAAAAACTCTTGGGTGTTGACTGGGTGTATGGTAATATTGATGTAAATGTTAAGTGTGATATGTTCCTCAATAATTGTTTGGACGCTCTGAACGAAATTGCGCCCAAGAAGCAAGTAAAAATACTGGCTAAATATAAACCATGGTGGAATGAAAGAGTTGAGAATGCTGTAAAGGAGAGGGATGAATGGTACAAGAGGTATAAAGTTGACAATTTAGAGCTAACTCGTGATATATATAAACAGAAAAGAAATAATGTTGTGAGGGTGATTAAGGATGAAAAAAGGAAATATTTTGAGGCAAAGGTTGATGGTTGTAAAAGTAACCCAAAGGAAATGTGGACGGTACTTCAACAAATTATCCCTTCAAAAAATAAAAACAGTATAGAATTTGTTGAATTTGAAAATGGTGAATGTGAGAATGATAGTAGAGTAATTTGTGAGAGACTAAATGAGTACTACGTTGAAAGCATAAGGAATATTTGTGAACAAATTCCAGATACAATTGAGTTAAACGCAGATTATGATGAACAGCATGACCTCATTTTATCAGATTTCAGCCTAATTACAAGGGAAGAATTGAAAAGCATAGTATTTTCTTTCAAAATCAAAAAAAGTCCAGATGATTTGGATATTGAATTATTGAGAAACATATATGTGGGAATTGAAGATCCCCTAATAAATCTAATAAATTACTCTTTAGAAATAGGTACTGTCCCTGATAGGTTGAAGCTGTCTACTGTGGTGCCAATTCAAAAGAAACCTAATGTGAATGTAGCATCCAATTTTCGACCATTAAATATGCTGGCGGCTGTGGAAAAAATTCTTGAAAGGGTGGTATATGTGCAATTAATTGATTTTGTGGAAAGTAATAATTTGATAACAGGTAACCAGTCCGGATTCAGAAAAAAGCACAGTTGTGAAACAGCCATACAATGTGTGATCGATGAGTGGAAAAATGGCTTAGACAACAACTATGGTATAGTTGCAGTTTTCTTGGATCTTCAAAGAGCATTTGAAACTATCGATAGACAGAGACTGGTTTTGAAATTGCATAAACTGGGATTGCGTGGAAGAGTATTGGAATGGATTGATAGTTACCTGGTGGATCGTAGGCAAGTAGTTAGGTTGGGTAGGGAGATATCAACTGAGAGAACTAATAACTATGGTGTACCTCAGGGCAGTATACTGGGGCCTTTATTGTTTGTTCTATATATCAATGATATCGTAAATGCGGTGCATCCTCCGGTTAATGTTCATCTGTTTGCAGATGACACTCTGGTATACTCTGTATCTAAGAATGTGAATGAATTGGTTGAAAGTACTAATAATGCTCTGGATAATCTGTACAATTATATGTGTGTGAATAAGTTGAAGATAAATGCATCAAAAACAAAATCTATGGTTGTCATACCAGAAAAAATGAGAAGGGCTTTTGGTAAAGACAAATTTGATATACGTATTGATATGTATCCTATTGAGATTGTTAGAAAAATTAAGTATCTGGGAGTAATAATTGATGATCAGCTGACATTTGGGGAGCATGCCAATTCAATTATAAGCAAATTGAGCTACAATATTAGTCATCTAACAAGATGCAGTAACGCAGTCCATATTTGAGTTTCTGGACTAAATTTGTTATACATAATACACTTGTACTACCACATATTAATTATTGTGCAAGTATTTTGTTTTTGTTAAACCAGAATACATTAGGAAGAATACAAAAAATGCAGAATCGTGCAATGAGGGTGATTTTGGGATGTAACAGATACACTTCAATCCGTTCTATGCAAGAACGTTTGCAATGGTTGCCTGTTTCTGAATATATTAAGTACAGTGTTATGGTTTTTATTTTCAAGATAAAGAATGGTCATGCCCCTCAATACTTAATGGATAAAATAATTTATAATAATGAAATCCATAACTACAGTACA